CAGGCTTTGGGGTCAGGCGGTCGCGGGATGCCCAGTGTTTAGGGTGTGCGAGGTGCTTCGGGCGCTCGTAGACCTCACAGCGCCGGCTTGTCGGGGGAGGAGAAACAACGCAGGCCCTTCGCGTTCCGATGAGAACGCGATGGCAGACGATTTGCCATTTTCGGCGACTGGGACTCTCGCCTGGCCCCAGGGCCGTGCCGTGAGAGAAAGAGAGAGAGAGAGAGAAAGAGAGAGAGAGAGAGAGAGAAAAAAAAAAACAGAGAGAGAGAGAGAGCACTTCGGGGGGAGAAGTTGGCCATGGGGAACAGCGGTGGAGACCTCGTGGGGCGTACGCTGCGACTGAAGCTCACGACGTCGGGGGCCTGGGGAGAGACGGGGACCAGGAGGACCAGGAGGAAGCGGCGGAGGAGGAAACGGCGGTCGCTTGGATTGGATCGCGCCTCCTGTGTCCCTGGGCGACGGGGCCTCCAGGGGCTCCGGCACCCGAGATCGGCCCGGGCTGGCGCACCCATCTCTCACCGAGCGCGTTCCGCTACTACTCGCAAAGTGCCTACTTGCAAACGTCCGAAAAACACATGTCCGCTCTGATGCTATATATATATATATATATATATAATCCTCTGCGGGGGACCCAGGCCATTTGCGAGCAGCTACTTTGCGACTAATGAACGCCCTCGAGCCGCTGTGCCGACGCCCCCCGGAAGCCCCCCCTCGGGGGCGGAGGGAGAGGAGGAGGAGGAGGAGAGGGAGAGGAGGAGGAGAGGAGGAGGAGGAGGGAGGGGGGAGGAGGAGGGAGGAGGGAGGAGGAAGGAGGAGGAGGAGGAGGAGGAGAGGAGAAGGAGGAGGAGGAGGAGGAGGAGGAGGAGGAGTCCCGGTCTCGTCGCGTGGCCCCCGTGGCCCCCCGCCCCCCGGCGCCCGGAGGAGTGCCGCCGGGCGACCTGCCTGCTGCGCCAGGGAGACGCTGCCCGGGCCCCACGGCCGCAGTCCAGATCTTCGAAGAAGAAGAAACTCGGCAGAACCATACATTCAAGTCGGGCGTGTCCCCCTACAGGGGCTTAGTGGGCCCTGGCAGCGACAGGGCCGTTTCTTTACTGGTTCCGCTCTGCCGTTTTGGGTTGCCGGTTCCGACGCCGTTTTTTTTTCGGGTTCCGTCGCCGTTGTTTGACCAGTGCCGGCTCTGGTTCCAATCATGGAGCCGTTTTTTTGCCGTCTCGGGTTGCTGTTTTTTTGCCGGTTCCGTCGCCGTTTTTTTTTGACTGGTTCGGGCTCCGGTTCCAATCATGGGGCCGTTTTTTTGCCGTTTCCGGTCGCCTTTTGTTTGCCGTTTCCATTTTCAAGGGACATTATATGGGGAAACGGTGGAAACACGGCCCTGCCGTTTCCTGGGCCCACAAAGTACACGGGGATGGTCGACGAAAAAGTAAAACATATTTCAAAAAGTGCTCCAGAAATGCTTTTAAAACATATTCAAAGAAGTAGTCCCCTGAGAGTTTCCTCCTGTAGAGAGACGGGCCCGACTTACCATCCTGTGGTGTTGGGTCCTCGTTTTGAAGAGACGGTGCCCCGCGTCCTCCTCTCCTCTCCTCCTCCTTCCCTCCTCCTCCCTCCGCCCGTCATCATCATCATCATCATCATCATCATCATCATCATCATCATCATCATCGTCATCATCATCATCACCATCATCGTCGTCATCGTCATCGTCGTCATCGTCGTCATCATAGTCATCATCGTCATCATCACCATCATCGCCATCATCATCGCCGTTATCGCCACCATCATCATCATCATTGTCATCCTCCTCATCATCATCAGCATCATCATCATAATCATCATCATAATCATCATCATCCTCCGCATCATCACCATCACCATTACCATTACCACCATCATCATCATCATCATCATCATCATCATCATCATCATCATCATCATCATCAGCATGCGTCCCCTGCAGCTCCACCGAACGCCCCAGTGGCTGCGCTCGCATGCGGTTCCACCCCCCATTCTCGCACACCCCTCACTCGTTTCGTGGCCCCATAGGGAGCTCCACCGAAGGCCCCAGTGGCTGCGCTCGCATGCGGTTCCACCCCCCCCCATTTCGGCACACCCCCCACACGTTTCGTGGCCCCATAGAGAGCTCCACCGAAGGCCCCAGCGTCTGCGCTCGCATGCGGTTCCACCCCCTTTTCGGCACACCCCTCACACGTTTCATGGCCCCACAGGGAGCTCCACCGAACGCCCCAGTGGCTGCGCTCGCAGGCGGTTCCACCCCACATTTCGGCACACCCCTCACACGCTTCGTGGCTCCATAGGGAGCTCCACCGAAGGCCCCAGTGGCTGCGCTCGCATGCGGTTCCACCCCCCATTCTCGCACACCCCTCACACGTTTCGTGGCCCCATAGGGAGCTCCACCGAAGGCCCCAGTGGCTGCGCTCGCATGCGGTTCCACCCCCCCATTTCGGCACACCCCTCACTCGTTTCGTGGCCCCATAGAGAGCTCCACCGAAGGCCCCAGCGTCTGCGCTCGCATGCGGTTCCACCCCTCTTTTCGGCACACCCCTCACACGTTTCGTGGCCCCACAGGGAGCTCCACCGAAGGCCCCAGTGGCTGCGCTCGCATGCGGTTCCACCCCCAATTCTGACACACCCCTCATACGCTTCGTGGCCCCATAGGGAGCTCCACCGAAGGCCCCAGTGGCTGCGCTCGCATGCGGTTCCACCCTTCATTCTGGCACACCCCTCACACGTTTCTTGGCTCCATAGGGAGCTCCACCGAACGCCCCAGTGGCTGCGCTCGCATGCGGTTCCACCCCCCATTCTCGCACACCCCTCGCACGTTTCGTGGCCCCATGGGGAGCTCCACCAACCGCCCCAGTGGCTGCGCTCGCATGCGGTTCCACCTTCCCATTTCGGCACACCCCTCACACGTTTCGTGGCCCCATAGAGAGCTCCACCGAAGGCCCCAGTGGCTGCGCTCGCATGCGGTTCCACCCCTCTTCGGCACACCCCTCACACGTTTCGTGGCCCCACAGGGAGCTCCACCGAACGCCCCAGTGGCTGCGCTCGCATGCGGTTCCACCCCCAAGTTCGGCACACCCCTCACACGTTTTGTGGCCCCATAGGGAGCTCCACCGAAGGCCCCAGTGGCTGCGCCCGCATGCGGTTCCACACCAAAGTCTGGCACACCCCTCACACGTTTCGTGGCCCCACAGGGAGCTCCACCGAAGGCCCCAGTGGCTGCGCTCGCATGCGGTTCCACCCCTCTTTTCGGCACACCCCTCACACGTTTCGTGGCCCCATAGGGAGCTCCACCGAAAGCCCTAGTGGCTGCGCTCGCATGCGGTTCCACCCCCAAGTTCGGCACACCCCTCACACGTTTCGTGGCCCCATAGGCGGCGCCGCCCCATTTCGGCACACCCCTCACACGCTTCGTGGCCCCATAGGGAGCTCCACCGAAGGTCCCCGTGGCGCAGTGCACTTGGCGCCGCCGCCCCATTTTGGCACACCCTCACACGTTCCGTGGCCCCACAGGGAGCTCCATCTCAGGCCCAAGTGGCGCAACTCGCATGGCGCCGCCGCCCCATTTCGGCACACCCCTCACACGTTTCGTGGCCCCATAGGGAGGAGAGGAGGAGGAGGAGGAGGAGGAGGAGGAGGAGGAGGAGGAGAGAGGAGAGGAGGAGGAAGGAGGAGGGAGGAGGAGGAGGGAGGAGGAGAGGAGGAGGAGGAGGAGGAGGAGGAGGAGGAGGAGGAGGAGGAGGAGGCGGAGGAGGAGGAGCTATCCTCGTGAGGGGCGCGCCGGCACGGGCGTCGCGGCGTGCGGGCGCTGCCGTTGGCATTTCTGGGGGGGGGGGCTCCTCGCGGCGGCCACAGTCAATTTCACAAGTACTCAGAACCAGTTATACTCAAACCGTTCACATTCATATAGAATTACACTGAGCTTGGTCATGCTCCCATTCATGAACATAGACTCGCTCGCACGCAATCCCATTCACAAACAGACGCACCCGCGCTCAGACTCATCCGCGTTCAGTCTCTCGTAATCAGAAATATGATTTTCCTTCGCGTTGTGTGCCCCCGCCACACATTTCAGCACGCCCTTCATGCGGTTCGTGGCACCATAGGGAGCGCCACCGAGGAATATATCCACAATTGCGGTATTCACAACTACGTACGGTTGGGTCTTTCGTCAGGCTAATTTTGTTGGCGCTCCGCGCGGATTTCTCGGATCCGCGCTGGGCCCCCCCCCCCGGCGGCGCCTTCAGCGCCGCCCTTGGCGCGCTCCGCGCGCCAGGGAGCAGGGGATCCAGCGCAGATCCAAGGAATCCGCGCGAAGCGCCAGCAATAAATGTGGTTCTGCTTGTTTTCCTTCTTCTAGATCTAAGTCGGGCATGTTCGTTCCTCTACAGGAGCCACAATACCAGCATAATGAAACAATTGTCGGGTGGACGATTTTCCAATGATATTTTGTTTGTTTTATGGGGGCAGTGATTATTATCATTATTCGTATCCGTATTATTCTTCTTATTATTGTTAGTTTTATTATTATTATTATTAGTAGTAGTAGTTGTAGTAGTAGTCGTAGTAGTAGTAGTAGTAGTAGTAGTAGTAGTAGTCGTAGTAGTAGTAGTAGTAGTAGTAGTAGTAGTAGTAGTAGTAGTAGTAGTAGTCGTAGTCGTGTCGTAGTCGTAGTCGTAGTAGTAGTAGTAGTAGTAAGTAGTAGTAGTTAGTAGTAGTAGTAGTAGTAGTAGTAGTAGTCGTAGTAGTAGTAGTAGTAGTAGTAGTAGTAGTAGTAGTAGTAGTAGTAGTAGTAGTAGTAGTGCTAGTAGTAGTAGTAGTAGTAGTAGTAGTAGTAGTAGTAGTAGTAGTAGTAGTAGTAGTAGTAGTAGTAGTATTCGTACCATGATAGCTATTATTAGTATTGTTATTCTTATTTATAATATTAGTATTATCATTATTAGTATGATTATGGCCATGAATATTATTATGAAAATAATATTATTCAATTATAATTTTATATCGATGTATTCGTCCAACACCCGCCTGTAGCGGGACATGCCCGACGTGATTCCAGATCTGCCCCCCGGGTTCGGCTCGGGGCCCCCCGCGGCCGTAGTCTCAGCTCTCTGCGCCACGGGCCGTCGCTCAGCGGCGCTCGGGGCGTCGTCCCTCGAGGGCCGGCGCTGGACCCGAGGTCGAGGGGCGAGGGGCGAGGAGGGAGGAGGAAGGAGGAGGAGGAGGAGGAGGTGGAGGAGGAGGGAGGAGGAGAAGGAGGAGGAGAAGGAGGAGGTGGAGGAGGAGGAGGAGGAGGGCGGGGGGGTGTCGGGGGGAGGGGGTCGGGAGCTATAATGTTCCAACCTTACTTCAGCCTGGAACGCCAGAAAGAAGTTCCAGCACCAAGACGACACCGAAGCTGGACAGACTTCACGCGTCGGGCCCTGGGAGGCGACGGTCGTCCGACACTGTTTCGATACGTTTATGGGTGCTCGGGGGTCGGGCCTGGGCCCCAGGTCCGGGGCGAGAAGCGAGTTGGCAGGGGGGGGGGTCACCCCAACATACTCATGCTAAATGTGCGTCGCCCCCCCGGGGGTGGCGTTAGCACCCAGAGATCTTATAGCATGTGCGTCGTGGCGGGCGCTTTCTGGCCATGCCGCTCGGGAAACGATGGACTGCCAGAGGGGTCTACGATATGTTCGGCTTAGACGCACGCCTCCCAGGAGGACATATAGTATTAGTGTGTCTCTATGCGTCCCACCAGGGGGAAGGGGTCGGGAGTTCTGGGGCCGCAGATCGAACAAAGCATGTCGTACGAGGTCTGGGCCTTTGGCCTTTGGGACCGAGACAGAGACGTGTGCGCGCACATGGATCCACGCGGTGCTCGAGGGAGCGCGTTGCGCGCGAGCGTTCGTGGCATGAGGGCGGCCTCGCGCAAGGTGGAGCAGATTCGTGTACGTGGTTCGGCGCGGACGTCGTTTCTGGGGGCTATCTCCTGGCCCCGACCCGCGGCACCCTGTGGAGATCACAGACAGGAAGGTGACGTCTCTGGGCTTCTTGCCCTGGAGTTTCGTTCCGGCCGAAGACCTAAGCAGCGTGGAGGCCCTGGTGAGAAGGGGTCGAGATCCCTGAGCACAACAAAATTAACTGTTCGGCGGCACGCTCTTCAAGAGAGTTGGCGTGTCCGCCCGCGCAGTTCAGTCTGAGAGAATTGCAACTGAGCCGAACGTTTGTCAGTGTGGCCCCCCCAAACAAGGGTTCTTGCAGTCTCAATGTGCGTTTTTCGTGGCGTATGATATCTGGCGCAGGCTACGTGGTCAATTGGTGCAAACCGTGAGGTGCAATCTACTGAGTGAAATCTACATTGTGCACGGTAGTTGGTGCAAGCCAACTATGGGGTGCAGTGCAAACCATATCATGCAATCTTTGTGGTGCAACCAGTGTTGACCGCATCCGTGCGTGACCGCCTCCAATGCTCGTGTAAACGCCCAGTCGAAGATTGTTATCGTCCCGCTCCTTTCGTCCCATCCTTCCACATTCTGTTTTCGACGTGATACACGGGCCCTGAGCGCCGCCGTGCCCGCCCCCATTCTCGTCCTCGGCCTCGTTCTCATATTGCCTCGCTCGATTTTGCCGCACAGGCCAAGGCTTCGCGTACGGGGTTCCCTTTTGCAGGTTGGTCATTGCGAGGCTCCGGGTCTGATTGGTGCATTTTTGTGAAGCCGTCGTTCGTCGCAGGGGAGTGGGCTTGTTTACGGGAAAATGTGTATGTGTGTGTCTTTGTGTGTGTGTCTCGGAATATAGCCCCGCCGGGGCGGAGCATCCGAGGTCTCGACCCAGGAGCGCATCCAGGCCGCCAAGAAGCTCGGGAGGTGGCTGCGCTGGCAGCGGTTCGCCTCGAAGGGCCTGGTGCCCCCGCACACCGTCTTGGAAGGCCTCCTGTGCGCGCTGCGCTCGCAGCCGGAGGTCCAGAAACGGGCGGGTCCAGAAATGATACCTCCCCTGGCCTGTCAACGCGCCTGTTGGCGTGGCTTTACGCTTGACGCTTCACCGCTGGCATGCCAGCTGCTGAGGAACTGTGCTACGTCGAGCGCGCAGGTTGAGCTTCGGCATGCTGGATGATACAGTACACAGATGTTTTGCTTGAGCTCGAGGTAGTTGCCATCACTACGCCTGGACCCACGTATTCGTGGTCTTACCCTGGGTCCTGATAGGGCCAGGCTGTGTGGCCTCTGGTCAGGCAGACCTAGGATGAGGATCGTTCGCCCCGGAGTCCTGGAGCGCTCTCAGAGCGCTCTGCAACGGCCGCGGTCGCCCGATACATCTTGCAGGCCCGCCTGTTGTCAGGGATGTACGATGCATCTTCGTCCGAACTTGTCATCCCTGAAGGTCCGAGCAAGAGGCCATCCTGATGCAACACCGCAGGAGCCAATATTTCTGCGGCATTTTTCCAGGCCGGATCGGTCTGCGAGGCCCGACGCCCAGAGCGAGACCGCCCGGCGTGAAGACTTGCAGCGCCCACGCCCCAGAGAGATCATCCTCGTCCGAAGTTGTCCTCAGCCTGCTTGTGTCGTGGCTGGGGGCCTGTCCGTGCCACTCACAACGTTGCAGGGGCACCAGCACCTAAGGCTCGGTCAGGACACCAATATGAAATAGACAAGCTGACTCACTGAGCTGGACCTAACCCCTGGTCGGCACAGCCAGTCAGCGGTTGCTTCCTAGTCCTGGTCTCCTAGAGGTGGGGTCGGAGTAGATGAGGTCGGAGGATCGCGCCGCATCGCCGATGCATCGACGATGCGGCTCCATGTGGAGACCGTGCTTCTTCACGCCGACGTTTCCGACGCGTCGCCGACGACGCAGATGCATCGTCGATGTATCGGCGGTGCATCAGCGATTCGGCGCGATCCTCCGACCCCATCTCCTCGGACCCCATCTGGCTCTAGAACCTCACACCTGGCCAGTACACCCAGTCAGCGATTGCCTCCCAGCTCTCCTCGGAGGTGGCGTGGACGGCCCAGTGCGCCCTTTTCCACGCCGCCCGCGTCGCGGTCGTGCCCAACCGCAGCATCAGGGACGCCCGGCTCCTGCCCCGATGCCTTCCCCCTCGGGCGAGCGGATCCGTTCGTTGCGTGGCGTCTTCGGGGGACCTCGCCCGTCCCTTGAGATTAGTGCCTCTTCTGGTGCCCGGCGCCGGCTCAATGCGGACGCGACGCGGATTTGGCGCGGATGCGGCGCGAATTCGACACGGATTCGACATGGATCCGACAAGGCCAACGTGGATTCGACACGGACGCGACGCAGATAGGGCCGCGACGGGACAGACAAGGTCCCTCGAGGATGCACCATAACTTCCGTCTTCGCCATGAAACAAAGCCCTGAGATCCAGGCGTCGCTATATTTGTCACGACGGGCGTCTTCGCATGAGCAGCCCTCAGATCTGGGCGTCACTTCACACAAACAACTTGCGTGTTCGCCAAGTTTCTGACCCAGGGACCCTCACAGAGTGATGCGGCTCGCAATATGCAGCATGTGGCTCTGGTCGTGATTGTCCGATAAATTGTTTTTTGCCCGCATCTTCAGATCTCAGCGAACGGTTCTCCTCGGGGCAGCGGGTCTTGAGGTGTTTTTGTTGCCGTCACACCCCAGGCCCAGGGACCGTCACAACAAGACTCAGGATGGGATGCTTGTCCTCGGGAAAGCCTCCGGGGTCCCGTTTCTTTCATTGCCATTTGTTTTCCACCCTGTGCTGCACTCTTGGGAGTTGTTGGCAGCCTCTCGCAATGTACCCCATCCGGCAATTCGTACTGCTCTGTTCCGGCTTCCTCTGCCCTGCCGCTATCACTGTTATGTTGTCAGTGTTGGCATGCACGCGACATCCTTCACCATGAACATCGTTGCAACCAGCTGACCTTTACTACACCGACCTCCCTGCCATCACGCAACATCACCACAATCTCAACAACCATCACCGTACCTCGAATTGCCATTACCATGATACTTGCCACCGCTCTACGAGCTAGTCTTGCGTTCATCGCGGCTGGTAGTGCTATTTCTGTCGATTTGGGTTGCCTCGGCGGCAGCGGTAAGGACGACTCGAATTGAATTTATGGGCTTCGCTCGAACGCTACACGCATTTGCTTGTCCCCACCCTACCAGCTTGCTTACGCCAGCTCTTCAGAGGAGGGCCCGCGTGGGATCATCACCAGTTTTCTCTTGAACGAGCCGACGCCGTTCCCCTTGTGCATGCCAGACCTCTCGTCCAGGCCCGTGCGGGTGTCACCGAATCGCGAGAGGGAGGAGGAGGAGGGAGCATGCGGAGGAGAATGATGAACGAGGCTGAGGCTGAAGCTGCTGAACGTGAAGAGGACCAAGAGGAGGAGGAGGATAACCAATAAGAGGATGGGTGGGAGGAGGATGAGGAGAAGGATGAGGGGAGGAGCAGGACAATTGGAAGGATGATGAGGGTTGTGATGTGGTGAAAGAGCGGGAGGACGCCTATGGGGAGCAAAAGGGAAGATGTTCAGGACGACCAGCAGCATCCCGCGGGCCTCCGAAGGGCCCTTCCGACCCTGCCCAGCTGGGGCTACCCGGCAGGTCCCTGCGCGACTTCCAGAGGGCCTTGGCGACCGCCGTCGTGCGGAGCTTCTTCGGCCAGATGCGGGCCCTCACGCTGATCGACCCGGGGTACGGTGACGCCTGCCGTCGGGGCCGTGTCGCCTGCATAACCAAAGGTTTCACCACAGAGTTTGGACCCCTGCGGTTGCGCCACATAGCTTGCACGCACACGCACACAAAAATGTCAAATTATGATACTGGGGAAAAACCCAATCATAATCTTTTTAGGGCTGTAGGGCTATATGGGCTATAGGGATATTGCGCTATAGGGTAATAGAGCTACAGGGCTATAGGGCTCTAAGGTATAGGGTCATAGGGCTATAGAGCCATAGGGCTATACAGCTATGGGGCTATAGGGCTATTGAGCTATAGGGCTATAGAGCTCTAGGGCTATTGGGCTATAGAGCTATAGAGCTGTAGGGCTATAGGGCTATTGGGCTACAGGGCTATAGGCCTATAGGGCACCCCCGGGCACCCGGGCACCCCGGGGCACGACCGGGCACCCGGGCACCCCTGGACCTCCGGGCACCCGGGCACCCCGGGGCACCCGGGCACCCGGGCGTGCGGCGAAAATCGGCGGCAAACCTAACTTAACCATATGAATCCGCTAGGACCCCTACAGAGGCAAGCTCTGATTGGGGAATATATGCATGTGTATATATATATATATGTACACACATACATATGTGGTCTCCTGGTTACGAGCGAGATACATACATGTGTGTGCGTGTGCCACGCCACGCGTCCATGCGCTCGTCGAGATCATGGCCATGGGAGCTTTGCCAACAAGTTGCGGGCTGGTGGGTGGGACGGTTGCACGAGCACGCGAGGTGGTTGAGCGCGGATGTCCCGTTGTGGGTAAATTGCACCATGTAGATTTCATAGACTCTACCCCCCCCCGGCGTTATCGGCCCCCGGTATGTAAATCACATATGATTCTGACCACATGTCCATCCTAACTATGAAATCACAATGTCCCAGGCCAACCGGGTTCCCCCCCTGAGGTTCCCTTGTAAAGAAACACCATGCAGTGACATTTTTGGTGTTCTAACATAGCACTTTTTCACGAATCCCTTGCAAAAAATGAAGCGAAGTGCACACGCGCGCGTCGTCGCGCGCGCATGCCGAAATCCTTCAAAGACCTTCGGTGCCGGAAGGATTTGGCAATCGAGTTTCCCAAAAAACATACAACGACACAGGGTTTCGTAACACTGATTTGCAAAAAAAAGCTTACGCGCGAGCTCTTGCGAATTTTTTTATATAAGCAATAACATTGGTTTTTTTTCCAGATTTCCACAACATGCTACCAAACAGGCGTCGCGCGCGCATGTCGAAATATGTCGAATGCCCTTGCGCGTGTGCCGTCGCGAGAATCCTATGCAAAAAAGAGGACGAAGTGCAGACGCGCGCGTCGTCGCGCGCGTACGCCGAAATCCTTCCAAACCCATCGGTTTCGGAAGGATTTTTACAAAAACACAAGGTTTCGCAACACGGATTTTCAACAAAAGCGTGCGCGCGCGCTCTTGCGGCGTCGTCGTCGTTGCCGTCCTCCCTCCTCCAGCGTCGCCGTCGTCTTTGTCGCCTACGTCGTCCTGTGTCTTTCCTCGTGTTCGTCGTCGTCGTCCTCTTTGGCGTCGTGGTCGTTTCCGTCGTCGTTGTCGCCGTGGTCGTCCTTCCTCCTCCTCCCTCGTCGTCGTCGTCGTCGTCCGTCGTCGGCGTCTCGTCGTCGTCCCTCCTATTCCGTCGTCGTCGTCTTTGTCGTCGTCGTCTCGTCGTCGTCTTCCCTCCTCCCTCGTCGGTGTCGTCGTCGGCGTCGCCGTCCTTCTTCTTCGTCGTTCGCGTCGTCGCCGTCCTCCCTCCTCCCTCGTTGTCGTCGTTGTCGTCGTTGTCGTCGTTGTCGCCGTCGTCGTCCTTCCTCCTCCCTCGTCGTCGTCTTCGTTGGCGACGTCGTCGTCGTCTCCGTCGTCGTCGTCGGCGTCGGCGTCGTCGTCTTCGTCGTCGTCGACGTCGGCGTCGTCGTCGTCGCCGCCGTCGTCGTCGTCGTCCTCGTTGACCGTCTTGCTTCTCCGGCCTTCTTGGGGCGCTCTTGAGACGCCCCCGAGGGCTCCAAGACGACCCCGGAGCGATATCTGTGCTCGGTCCCGCATGGGTTTTGAAAAAAACAAGTTGCGGGTGGGTGGGTGGGATGATTGCGCGAGCAGTGGAGTTGACAACTTCAAGTTCGGCAAGTGAATTGCACCACATAGATTGCACCGCGTGGCGTTCACAACATAATTAGCAACACATGAGTTGCAGCATGCACAGATAGACATCGCATAGACTGCGAGACATATATTGCACATCGATGGTGCAATAGCCTACGGTTTGTGTCTCACGCTGGCTGACGGCTACCATCGAAGTCAAATGATTGGAAGCTGTTTGGGTTTCATCTTGAAGCCTCTTTGGAGTGTCTTGGGGTTTCCTGGTGCCCCTCGAGTTGTTCTTAGGGCCCCCATGGTGCGATGGAGCGAGCCATTATTGAGCCGTCTTGCAGGGCACCTGCAGACTGCAAGCCTCGAAGGCGGGATATGGAGGCTCTGACAGCCTGGAAGGTGCGTCGGCGTCGAGCAGCTCGCCCGCCCCCCCCTCCCCCCGCCCCCCCCCGCCTCACCTTGAGCGTGGTATCTTTGTGTAGGTGGCTTGTGTGCAAGGGTGAGGTTTAAGGCTATCACCATCGTCATCATCATCATCATCATCATCATCAGCAGCATCATCATCAGCATCAGCATCAGCATCAGCATCAACATCAGCATCGTCATCTTCTTCATCATCATCATCATCATCATCATCATCGTCATCGTCATCGTCATCGTCATCGTCATCATCGTCATCAGCATCATCATCAGCATTATCATCATCATCACCACCATCATCATCATCACCATCTCATCATCATCATCATCATCATCATCATCATCATCATCATCATCATCATCAGCATCTCGTCTTCATCTTCCTCATCATCTTCCTCCTCATCTCCCATCTCCCCCCCGCCCCCCCCCACACCCCGCCGTAAACAAGGACCTGGGGCTCCCTAGGAAGGGAGCAAGCGGGAGGGCCCAGCCAGACATCTCACACATCTTCCCAACCCCCGGCGTGTCCTGCAGGCTTTTAGGGTTTATGTTGGAAATGCTGCAGTGCAGTATTTGTTCGTGCCGCCGTCTGGACAGATTGGTTTCGAGGGATGTTGGGTGTCAGGGTCTAGCGTGTCCGGGTCTACGGGGCCCTGAGAGTCCATTATGTTGCAGCTTCGGCGGCCCTTCTGTGTCCCGTCGCGCCCCTATCCGCGTCGAATCCGTGTCGAATCCATGTCGGGCTCGTCGGATCCGTGTCGAGTCCGTGTCGCCTCCGCGTGGGATCCACGTACAATCCGCGCCGGGTCCGTCGTGCTCCCCGTGGAGCGACGAGGAGGAGGGCGAGGAGGAGCCCAAGTCCTAAGTCGGGGATGTCCCTCTGCAGGAGGAGTTTCCAAGAGTGGTACAACAATAGTCAGGTGACGATGTTGTCGAACTGCTTTGATTATTTTTCCGTATGTTTGCCCACCCATCGGTCGTTGAAAGTAGGTATACGGGAATTCACATCTTCCAATCTCTTTTAACCGCCCTCCTACTTCAATGCTCGAGTGGCGTCACCTTTCCCGTGCTCTTTAGGGGACGGGCGGAGACCCAATCTACTTCCAACGCCTTCCTACATCATGTTTTCGACCTGCTTGTTCCGACCGCTGGGTATTTGCCGTTTCTCTGCCAACATCCAATTGTAGGAGGACATGCCCAACCTCACACAAGACGGATAAGGGCGCGAGCGGGAGGAAGATCCCCATGGGCGGCCGACGGGTGATGCAGCCGGCTCCGCAGAGGCGTTAAGTCTTGGTCGGCCTTGCTGCGCTGGCCAGCGCAATCAAGACATGGCGCCAACATCGCACAGGGTATTTCGTTCGGAAAAAAAGATAGGATGGGCCCAGAGTGTCCTGGAGAATTTCATTCGTGCGGATTTTTTTTGGGGGCCAGGAATGTAGACGAACAACAAATACGCGAAATGAACTTCGTTTTTCGCTCGCCGTTTCGGGTTCTGCAGCGACAGAAATGCGCGCAAAAATCCGCTGCAGCACGTCTGCAAGGCCGGCACAGTGAATCCATGGACAGGGATCAATGTGTGCGATGGATGTGTAGAGTCGAGCCAGCTTGTCAACCAGCGACCTCTGCGACCCACCCGCCTCGGGAGAGGACAAGATACCGACACCGCTGATTATCCTTCCCGAGTCGCCACGGCTGGATTCGCCTTGAAACCCTGGTCGGAGTTCACCCCCGTGGAGTAGAGTCCTGGGATTATTTTTCCAGACCGCCGCCGCGAGCAAAGAATAATAATAATCATAGCAATACCAATAAGAAGAAGAGGAATGGCAGAAAAGGGGGACAGCGATTGAGGAGGAGTTCGGGGAGGGGAAGCAATAACAGCTTGTCTTTTCGCCTCTCCCTCTGCCTTGTTTTGGTGCTCCATTTTTTTGACGAGAGTGCAACCAACCCCCACACCCACCCTGACGACTACGTGTTGCCGGGACGCCTGTGGAAGTCGTCGACGCGCTCCCCCAGCGAACATTACGATTCGCTTTGTAGCACCGCTGTTTCTCCTTTATGGTCAAGCAGGAATGCGGTCGTTCAGAAAGATGCGCCGTGGCATGTTCAGGAAGGCACACTTTGAGCAATGTTACAGGGCATCACGCGCGTCGCGAATGTGAGCATTACGCCGGGCGTGTCCCTTTACAGGAGGGATATTCCAAAATTGTAAAACAAAAAAGTCGGGGGACGATGTTTTGATTCTTTGTTAGCTTTCGGGGAGTATCCTTTGACTCTGTCTACTTTTTCGTCCAAAATTCCCCTGTAGGGGAACAGGCCCGACCTAATGGAAGCAACACAGTGTTTTGTTTTCTGTGAAGGCAGCGGCGTTGCTCGCCGCTGCCGCGTTGTCCTCCTTCTCCTCCTCGTCCCGATCCTCGTCCTCGTCCTTGCACTCATTGTCTCCCTTTTCCTTGTCGTCC